AATGAAAGTATCATGTGTAATCGTTAATTTTTATTATTTTTTTCATTTCGTTTCAATTTAGACAAACATCGATTTATTTTTCGACGTCCTGGGAATCAATCAAATGTAAATAATTTCGAAAAAATTTTATTTCATCAACATGGACCCTCATCTACTTGATTTTCATCTTCCAAGAATACTTCATCAAATTCATTAGAAAAATCCAATTCAGCTAAACAATATGAAAATCAGTTTACAACTGAAATGAATAATATTGATCGAATACTACATGAACATGATCCATCAGTAATTGATTGTTTATTAACTCGCATTTTACATGGACAAGGTATTGGTTTAATACCTAATCCATTAGGTCGTTTATTTATTCAATTAATTAGTAGCATCAAACAAAATGAAATTTATCAATGTCGTGCTATACATTTATTATTTCTATTATGTCCAATACGTTTAATTCAACAAATTATTAAACCATTATTTGAATTAATGGCTACAGTTGCAAATCAACCAGATTGTGAAGTAGATAAAACTAGTTTAGTTGTATTATTTTCACCGATATTCTTTCTTGATCGTTCAACTACTACATCAATTTCATTAGATAATCCATTACCAATACATGTATTAAATTTATGTGTTAAATTAGCACGGGATAAATTAAAAACAAATTTATCTGTGACAAGATTATTTCAAGTTCCTTCATTATTTTTACATGATTGTACAAGAACATTAATTTTACATCAAGTAAGTATTATTGTCATCATTAGTTAATATTTTGTTATTGTCATAATTTTCAAATGGTTTATATACATATTACTAATAGATCGTGGATGTGCAATTCTGAGAAGTCCCAAACGGCCGTCTAATACTTCCAGGTTTTCAGTGATGGTCTGATATGGATTTGTTTATGATCTCAATTAAAATTCAACCATCTTTACAACCCGATAGTAATTATTAGATAGTCATCATGTTTATATCATCTTTCATGTTGATAATCATTCTGCTGATCAGATTGATAGGAAACAGTTAAATGCAGTGGATCATAATGAATGAATATGATCTTATTGTATAATCAACAACAATTGTGTAACAATTCATGTTAAACAGATAAACTTTTTTTTCTAATAATTGTAAGTAATAATGGATATTAAGAAAAAGATAGTGAGTGTATGATACAAGTTATGAAAGTACAAATGGTATTCCGCCACAAGAATGAAATCACTCTCCCACCTCCTTATCAATTTATCATTATCATTATTATTATTGTCAGAATAGACCACACATGTAGTTTTGCTCAGAAATTTTTGTGTTACACTAATTGTGTTTTCTTTCACAATTCTCGCTGTAGGTATATAAACAAAATAATGCCAATCGTTTCATTTGCATATATGGTCACAAAATACTAGTACTATTACTGCTAATAATAATAATAATAATAATAATAATAAGAATGCCTTTATAAATCAACCAATCAATCAATAAATAAATAAAACTGGAAAAAAAAGAGAAAAAAAGAAAAAAAGAAAAAAAATCTATTCTAACCATTTTGATTATTTTTATAATTCACTTTGTCGAAATGAGAATAACCAAGATATATGGAATAGAAATGACTGAAATGTTTCATTGTTTTCTTTGAATAAGATGAACATTTTTGAGTAATACAAATTTCTGTATCTCTCTCTCTCTCTCTCTCTCATCCTTACTGAATACATAGTGGTGTTTGTCTGTGAGAGGGGGGTGGGGTGGATGAGCGGGGTTATTGATATGTCCACGACATTAACCCCTCAAGACGAGGCTAGTTGAGTTAAAATAAATAAAGCATTACATGAACTAATATCTTTCTTTTTATTTTATAAAAAAAAACCCAGTTGAATAAATAGAATCTTTGACTTTATTGAAAAAAGTTTGAGTTGATCTTTGTTGAATTTTTATAAAATTCAATTAAATTTTATCAATGTTTATTTGAATTTTATTAAAATTTTTAAATACAATTCGATGATAATGATGTTTCGAAGCAAAAAATATAGTTGACAGTGATTTATCATTTAGTAGCTGAAACATTTGAATAATAAATCACTTATTTCATCATAGTTTAATCTATCTACATTTGGTCAGACAAGTAACCCTAGTGAACCTTGTACAAAGTATTTGTATTTAAAATCATGTAGATGATCTAGTGAATTAAATATATATCTGAATACAATCGTTTGGTTTTTTTTGTACGAATTTCCACAACCTGAAATCACTAGACGGCTGTTTTGTCTTAGTGTTGACTCATGAATTCAACTGTGAAACTACTACAATCTCCAAAAATTTTTATACGGATAATATCGTGTGCTCACCAATGAATAGCTTCAAGATGAACTTCTTGGAGTTCTAGTGAGTTGTGACCAATGGTGTAAGACAATGGATGAATGGCTGTGCGAAATCATAGATAGATTGAAGTTAGATGTCGGCTCAGTGGTTTAGAGCTTAAGCGTTTGCTTGCGAGATCGAGAGTCATGGGTACAAGTCTCACGTATGGGATCGTAGATGCTTACGGATGAGGAGTTTCATACTAGGACGAAACAGTTGTCTACTGCTTCGAGGTTTTCAATGGTGGTCTAGATTAGATTGACTTGTGAATTTAACTGTTAAAATACTACAATCTCCTCAAATCCCCATACTGATAATAAATATTGTTAAACTTGTCAATATGCGCTACTACATTATTTGTATAGAAATTTAATGGCTGTATTTAGTCTTAAAATCTGTTCACAAGGTCTTAAGTCTCAATGCTACAATTCAAATAATCAACAATTCATTTGAGTTTATGAGTTATATAACTTGTTAATGACTCTAAGGTCATTTAATCATTTTATTCGTGGAATACTACCATCAACAATAATTTAACACTCTCGGTTAGTCATTTCCTATCAATACCATTAACATTATACAAATATACTTATATAAAGATCATCATAAGCTATATATCGATTTAGTTCAGACTAGATTTCTTCCTACTAAATATAGTATTAATTTATTTCACATTTCTTTTACAATTTGTACTTCACATAATGTTATGTACTTATTTAGCCAAATACCCAAATGTATTAAATATACTTTTGATCTATGTCTAATAATCACTGAAGTGAAAGTTTTCATATAAATGACTAATAAATGATAATATTAGTCATCAGTATGGGGGTTGTGGAGATTGTTAAGTTTTTGATTGAGATCATGAATCAATTGATGTTAGACCACCGTTGGAAACCTTGTTGATGTTAGACACTAACACCATTGGATGCCAGCTCAATGGTCTAATCGTTAAGTGCTCAGGCGCGAAGCCAGTAGGTCCTGGGTTCGAATCCCGCTCGCGGGATAGTGGATGCGCACTGCTGAGGAGTCCCATACTAGGATAATATTAGTGTTATTTGAATCGTTATGTATGTATATGTATATGTCTGTCTATATGTGTGCATGTGTGTATGAACTCGTATTTGTTTGTCACTCAGCTTATTTTCCTATTTATATATAATATGCTTAATTATTCGAATAAATTAAAGTACCATAACGAAACTGTAACAGAATTATCCTTCAATACTAAATTTGTCATTGAAAATTTATCCAACCAGTTATCTTCCATCTATTTGTTAAATATTAAACATTATTCTTACAGTATCAATAAGTTTTACTGTGTTATCTTTATTTATTAATCCTTTTGAGAAGTATTAGATGATCTTTGTCTCAGATATGACTATATATATATATTCGTATTAAGGTTTTCTTTCTTGTTATACACGTGTGTATGTATAGACTATTTCATGATACCTAACAAGTTTATAAAGTTAACATTTGGTTTTATACTAATTATATACCCCAATTAATTTTTGTTCATTAATCCGTGTATATTTCACTTTTTTGGTATATAAATAATTGAATGTCATAACAACAATATCAACAAGATATTTCTTTGAATTTAGTTACCAAGTTAGAGATTGGGAATTGTTTCAATGATTATGAATTATACTTTTATTTATTAGTTAATATAAATTAACTTAATTGTGTCTATTTTATTGCATAATCGATATTAAATTTCATAGTTTCTTTTTAAATTAGACATCAGACAGTCCTGCATTGTGTTGTAATATTGTGTTACTATGACACCAAGTCCATGTTCACAAGGCAAGAAATCGAATGAATCATTGAGAAAATCGGATACATCTACCATGAGTACAAAATCAAATAATCCCATAGTGAGTAGATTGTGTTGTTATTTTATTTTTAAAGTTGAGTAGTTTGTTAACATTTCCTCAAACGATTACGTAACATTAAAAGTCAATGCGATTAACATTGTCTCAACAACGATTAAGATCAATGTGAGATATTTGATTGTTCTCCGTATAGAGTAAGAAATCAATACTAGCTATGCTGTAATATTCAATGGGATTTTCTTATCGATACAGATTTTCATATTATACCCTGACATATTTATATATAGTGTACCAGTATGGAGGATTAATGGCGACTGTAGCTTAGCTAGAACATAATTGAAAATCTACAACTACTAGATGGCCGTTTTATCAAAGTATTCATATTCACAAGACCAAGCGTGGAGGTCGAACCCAGGATCTCCGGTCTCGTATGTAAACCTTTAAACTCCAGACCATTTAGTATGTATTCATCGGTGTTAGTGTTTGAGTTCAATCATTCTATGGACTCTTGCAACCCTTCATTTATTACCGGCAGTGCATAGCAATTCCACACCTGACACAGACTGAAGTCCACTGGTATATATGATGTATAGATAATCGAATGCATTCTGAACAATTTGTACCATTCGATGACACCTTAAGTCTTATTTTAAAAAAAACACTAAGAGAAGAGAGATAAATATGAATAAAATAAAAATATAAGACATTAGCTTTGTGAAAGTTTTTATTACAAATAAGAAGCATTCACCTATAATATTTACTTTTTTTGGATATGTGTAAATCTCCATAAAATGATTGTTTTCGTTTTTTTAGGTTAATTTAACAGCCGCATTCTTAGCTAAAAGACCACGTGCTCATTCCCCAGTTTGTGGTAACTCAAAGGATTGTGTCACTCCATTAGTTAAAAATGTAAGTCAAGTTGAAAATGTTAATTTAATTTATGTATTACATTAGTTATTCACTATATACATGATGGACTTGATTTTATATCTAATACAATATGGATAGATACATGTGAATGTACATAATTCAAGAAAAAAGTCGTATTATCTATGTAGACAAGATGGGTCATCATTCCATAGATGTTTATAGATCTAGATCAATGTATTACATATTTACGTTCGCTTGGCGTAGAACAGCACGCGTTATTTCCATCGATTGATGCTACATACTACTCATAATTTTCAGCATAAGTAGCATTCGCCAAACTACCACAAGTTCGATCTCTTTCCGATATCTTAAGAATTTCCACTGAATGATGATAATTTAGAATTGATTGACCCAACAAATTATCATTCTAAGTTATGCATTAGTTATTGTATGACATGATTAAAATGAATTTAAAAGTTATATTATGAATGATAATGATTTAATAAAATCTTTAAATTTTTCAGATCAACACTTGTATTATTTATGTTTTCAATTTTCTTCTTTTTCTTTATTTTTTCTAGACTTTACACGGTCGAACACTTGATTTCCGAATACGTCGTACACCTACCTACACATACTGTTTTACGTAATCAAAATGTAAATATGATTCGTTCTCCTGTATCAACAATTTATAGTCATTCAAATGGAAAATCATCTAAATCAAATGATACAACTGTAATAATAACAACAATCTTAACGGCAAACAAAAAAAAAGAAAGAAAGAAAGAGAGAGAAGCACAACATTGATTCATCATATTCATACATCTTTTCAATTGTATTGTACATATCATCAATTTTATGTTTGATATCAATCATTTTAATATTGTGTAATTATTGTATTATATTCTCATGGCAAAAGTGTATACAGATCAATATTGTGTTAACAAATTGTTTCTTTCTTTCTTTCTTTCTATTCATAATTTCAGTGAATTTCTTTTATTTCTATTTTGTTTATTTTCTTTTCTATGTTTTATACAACAATTTCGAATGATGATTGTATTTCCCTTATTCCAACCTTCATTGAATTTTGTTTACCGGCAACGAACTCATCCACGTTAACGGTTAAATGTGACGTAGAATAAAGAAGACAATACTTAGTGTTGTAAAAATCAACTAATATTACAATGATTTTTTTTTAAAAAGAATCAATAAAGAGTTTTGTAATTGTAATGTGTAGTATTATTAGTAGTATTATGAACTACTATTTTCCATTGTTTACTTACACACATTTAATCATTGTCTATTACTCTCTGTTATATATCTGAATATCAATAAAATTTGTAAATATTTTCTTATCAGAAAAAGGGTTATAAAGATCGTTGAGATAATAAACCGATCCATGTTAGGCTACCATGGAAAACCTGAAAGCACTGGATGATTGGTTCATCTTAGTATGGAACATTAATACTGTTAAGTCCTGATTCAGTTGTCTAAACAGTAAAAGTTCACACACGACATCAAAAGACCTTAGTTCGAGTAGTCCCATATTAGGACGAAATAGCTGTCTAGTGGTTTCAGGTTTAAAATGGTAGAGACTAGTACTTTCACAGTTGAATTCACGAGTCGATCACCATAGAGCTTTAGCGTTCACTCACTAGACAAAAAGTCCTGGGTTCGAGTCCCACGTATGGGATCATGGATGCTAAGGAGTACTATACTAGAACAAAACGTCCGTTCAGTTTTTTTTGGATTTTCACCGTTAGTCTACCTTAGATCAACTCGTGAGTTCAACTAACAAAATTTATAAGAGTTAATAGTACATTCGATGATCATATAAATAGTCAATTATTTTCACGCCGCTATATGAAATTATGTGGGTTTTTTTTCTTCATAAAAACGAAATATATCTCACTTTTTACTCGATGGTTTTATAGAGATTCGATATTCGAATTGCATGGTTAACATCATGGAATGATTTTAATTTCAGTATTAAAAGTGTAAGGGATTAGTAATTCGGTATTTTTTTTTGTAATCAGTCATATGTTGTATCACAATTGGAATAATCTGTTGAAAATAACAGTAATCTAAGTAACTAAAATAAACATACTTAGAATATCTTAACTGAGTTGTAATTATAATCACAGTAAAAAAAATTATGTTGTAGCTTTTTATAACTAACTAACTAACTAGTTTCACTGATCCAGTTATATTAACCTAATGATAATCCGCATACGGATAAATAGACTATTCTATATTTATATGGTGGTAAATTACAATGATTTAATCTTTCAGTGTTTTACATAAATACATTTTCATCAGAAAGAGGTTTTGTGAAGATTGAAGTAATTTAATAGTTGAATTCATGAGTCGATTAAGGCTACACCACTATTGCAAACCTGGAAGCACTGGACAGCCGTTTCGTCATAGTATGGGACTGCTCAGCAGTGTACATCCAGGACCTTCGATTTCGTGCGCGAACACCTAACCTCAGGACTACTGATCACCACCAATAGCGTTAATGTCTTACTTCAATCAATCCACGAGATTGCGCTGAGGAGTTCCACACTAGGATGAAACAGCCATCCAGTGTTTCCAAGTTCTCCAAAATAATCAAGCTTTAATCGGCTCATGGATACAACCATTAATTTAAAAATAGATTTGTGAAAATATTAAACATAGAAATAAACAATGATATTCAATGTTTTCCCTACAAAGTAATTTGGCCTTGAATGGTGAATATATAGTTAAGTGATTAAAATTTTATCTTTAATTTCACTTTGTACTTTCTTATACTTTATATTTAGTGATAGATATCGTTTAAGTGAATACATTAATCCATCCATTATTATGAACACTAATCACTGATAAAAGTCCAACATAACTGTTAATGAAATCATGTCATTTATGAACTAAGAGACAATGATAACTGTGTATTGATTTTTGAAAAACAACTTTAATGTGAAGCCTAAAAAAACCCAAAACGAAACAATTATCAAACTACATGAGAAATAAAGTAAGTTTTCACAGATTGAAATCATGATTCAGTTGAAGCTAGACCACCATTGAAAACCTGGAAGCACTGGACGGCCGTTTCGTCCTAGTGTGGGACTCCTCAGCTCACTGAAGACAATGGTATATGGTGGCGCAACTTCGTGGATTGGTTGAAATTAGACATTAACACCGTTGGATGTCGGCTCAGCGGTCTAATGGTTAAGTGCTCTCGCGCGAAGCCAGTAAGTTCTGGGTTCGAATCCCGCGTGGTGCGGGATCGTGGATGAGCACCGCTGAGGAGTCCCACACTATGACGAAACGGCCGTCCAATGCTTCCAGGTTTTCAATGGTGGTTTAGCTTCAACTGACTCATGATTTCAATCTGTGAAAGTTTCTAAAATCTCCACAAACCCCTTCTGATAGTTAAAGTGTTTTGTATAAATTGTCTAGTTCGGATTTGTTTTACATTACAAATTAACATAATCTAGAAAACCAGTGAAAATGACGGAGAATTGGATAACTGTTTCGGTCTATTTGAGAATTCTTCAAGAATGTGATAGTGATCAGACTCAAGAACATTAGCCTCCTATGAGAGGGAAATAAAAGAGATTCTTATCTTGATACATGGAAGTTAAAACTGTGGACCGTTGGATTCAAAGTTGGTAATCGGAGAATATTGCGCCGACCGTAAGAAATGAAAATTCTGTGTTCTATGCTTGTAGGAATTTTACTTGGTCACTGTTAAGGAATTTCAAACTGAAACGAGACGACCGTTCTCCCTAGTTTTTAGCACTGCGAAATTTTTCATAGAATGTTATTAAAAGTTGTGAAAATATTTGATTAGATGAAAGTATGACAAAACAGATCGATCAGTTAGAGTCCCATATATTGGCAACAGGAAAGTATACACTCCAACTAATTGTCCATCTTGTACCAAAAGTTTTCTTCAAATTTTCTCATCATTCAATAGTGTTTTGGTTATTATACAAATATTCAATAAGATATACTATTTTTGACAAAAGCATCATAAATGAACGATATATACTACTTGACGATATAGGTAATTAAATATAGTTCACAAAGATTGGTATGTTTTTGAATTTAGACTCGGATGTATATTTTACGTTGTAGCGAGCTGAATTCAAGATTAGTATACGTTAAAGGATTAAATGCTGGTGCCGAATTACCCAAAACTTTACAGTTTGATGCAATAAGTCAAAAAGATTGATAAACGTAGGGTAGGGTGCTATGTGTTAAGTTGATAAGTCGATCTGAACTTTGTACTGAACAACACAAATTAATTAATGGAAAAAGAAAATTTTAGATTATGCAAAAAATTACAAGGAAGATTATAATGTATTTCATTATCATGTTTTACTACCGGTCAGATGTTATCAAACTGAAATTGGTTTACTGTTCATAGAATATGAATAAGTGATAATGCCATTATGAACGAAACAGTATTGAATACCATATTTGTACCGAAATATTAAGAGTAGGATACAAAACTTTAACACTGTCCAACGAATTTCCGTCATTTCAGAAGATTCATTTTAAGGAAAGAATCTAATTCATTGTACTGTGAGAGATGGAGTCTGAAATGAATAATTCTACTACTCTTTCTAAATGATATTACATCACAAGACGTAGGTAAATGACATAACGTATCTGGTGTTTGCTGAAATTAAGTCTAATTTCAGGGTGGAATACATATCTAGTGCCCCCCTAGTTTCCAATGATTATCTATATTAGATCAGATCATGGTAGCAAAAATTTGACTGAAACTATAAAGAAAATCTCAGATAATCGTTTATATAATATAATGATGCTTAGCGAAATTATAGCAACATACTTACTCTAATGTTATATGTTTTGTTGAGTAGAAATATAGTTTACTCAACATTTTTCCACATTATTTTACACGACAAACTAATTCGTAGATATTAGAATAACATATAGTCGGTCTATTTCATCAAATGTCACTTACGGTCTATAGTATTTCACGACGAGAAATTACAAATGTAGTATAAAATACTTAGGGAAATGAAACTAGTCATAAGTTAGATAAATACATAACGGTGTGCTGTGATAAAGGTTGATTGTGTTACAAAACATTTTGATGTTCATCCATTTTAACTTTTAATCGACTTTATTTTTCTAAGTGTCTTACACTTCAATCCTGATAATCAGAATTGAAAAGCTTGGATTCTCTGTCTAACTAAATCTGCATTAAACAATTCACTGTATGTTCTCAGTTGAAATCACGAATCAATCTAAGCTAGATCACCATCGAAAACCTGAAAGTACTAGATGGTATTCCTCAGCAGTATGCACCCACAATTCCGCGCTCATGACTCGAACACAGGACCTTTGGTCTCTCATTATATGTCCTTAGTTTTCTTGATAAATCATCAATGAATTTAGATAGTCAATTGAGATGAACTGCAAAATTTTTATAATTTCAAATAATTTATTATGATAACATAATAATAAAATATCATGAATTGATCAACTCCATAAAATAGGTAGTTGAAATATCAGTCTCATTCCTCCATGTTGTTAGTTTTTTTTTTTTAAAAGACCAGGTAAACTAAAACCAGAGTAGAAAATAATCCACCTAAGATTATAAGAAGGTGGGTTTTTCTTGAATGTGTACTAAAGCACTAAACACTAGAAGTTAAAATATACCCATCTACAAACAATGTATTTAAATGCCTCATCGTAACTAAGTTAACATACTGGTTATGAATACAAATGTATCGTTGTAATTCAAATTTTTGTTGATTCAATATTCAATATTCAATAATCATAATTCATTATTAATTAATGATAAAAATATTAAAAAAATAAGTTCATTCAATCAAATAATTGGAAATCAATAAATTCTAATTTAATCTGCAGAAAAAAAATTTAATCATAAAAAAATATATGAATGATGTATCCAATTAATCAATAATGATAATTTAAAATTTAATGATCAAATTATTAATTCTAATCATGATCCTGATCAATATGATATTGATCAAATTAAATTAAATAAACAATTAATAAATAAAAAATATAAATCAATAAATCTATATTTATATATTTGTAAATATTACGGTGTGTAGGAAAAATTCTAGATTAACTGATGTTTCGTAATTCAAAGTAA